TAACAAGAAAATTTTGTGGATTTTCAAAATTCAAACGAAATTCTCACTTGATCGATTTGAAGAAGAACTCTAGCGGCGCAGTATCGTATGCCCGGAAACATATTCAGCTGTCAATAAATAGTATAATTAAAGAAAACATCTTTCGGCCATCAACACTGCTAATATTGACTCCTAATCTTATGTGTATTGTTTTTACTAATGTGAACAAACATTTTAGATTTTAAATTATTAGATTTCCATATTATTATATTAATTTATTAATATTAATTGTAAAGCATTATTCAAGGGGTTAAGTAACCCCGTTTAAACTAAATTATGGATTAAAAATAAAAGTAACCTCAATGAGATTACGATTATTATATTACAGTTAATTTACAGAAGTAAGAATAAATTAGAATATTTTAAGTCTAGAGTTAAAATTCAAATGAACATGAATTATTTAATACAAGTACAACTCGGGCCTATTCACTGTGGTTACGATGCTATGTTTAAAACATAAGAGGATTCATTCGTAGATTGGAAATTTAGTAATTTGAAATGTAAAATCTTCGTTCACATTAGTAAAAACAGTACACATAAAATGTTGATGGCCGAAAGATGTTTTCTTTAATTATGCTATTTATTGACATATGCTGAATATATGTTTCCGAGCATACGATACTGCGACGCTAGAGTTCTTCTTCAAATCGATCAAGTGAGAATTTCGTTTGAATTTTGAAAATCCACGAAAATGTCTTATTATATTTGTTTATAAGTCAAAGTGAAATGGACTTAAATATAATTCAATTGGTAGAGTAAAAATGTCTTAGTAGTTTTCCACAGAATTTAAAATTCTGATTACAACTTATTATTTAATTCTTTGTATAATTTATAATATATGTGTGTCTGTGTGTTTGTGTATGTGTGCGTGATGTTTAAGGAATTTGGGACTTTTATCCCTAATCCAATATTAGTAAAGTTCCATCATCACTAAACAAACCCAGAACTTTAACCCATCATGATGGATGAAACTTCTATCAAGAAGGCACCTTGACTTGGGCGATTCTTGGGACTCAATTTCACCCCAGCTCTCAAGTGAAACTCACATATAATATAGGCGTATGTATGTATAGTATGTACGTGTATATGTTATTGTGTATGTGTGTATACGCATGTGTTTTTGAACATAGAAATATAGGTCCTTGCTAGATTAGATAATCGTTATATTTATTTTTTATTTTTTATATGTTTATATTTGATTTGTAACCTGTAGTCGATATTAATTTTTTTGTCAAATTTTCTTAATTACACTGCGGCCCTTTCAGTAAATGCCATTCAGTTTTAGTTTCCCCACCCCATCTCTCTCCCCCACCTCTTCTTCTTTTCTTTTCCTCTCCCTCCCTCTTCTTCTGATCTTTAAGATGAGATCGTCTATTGTGTGTGTATGTCACCACAAAATGTATCCTTTCCGGTTACATCTTTAATGTATTAGACATCCGACAACATTCATGTTTCTCTCACTTAAAACGTCTTTGACTCTCCTCTCTAAAACTTCTCTCTGTTAAGGTTTAATCTCCCACCTTCTCTCGTCTGTTACCCCTCTCTTTAACTCTAACATTCGTCCCACGCTCTCATACATACACTCTCTCTAAATTCTATTTTTATTTCCAGAGTTGTTTTTTCTGTTTTCTTTTTGAATTTGTAGGTCTGATGAATTGGATCGTATTTACGATTCCAATGGGATAAATTATGACCATGAAATATTGGTGTTTAAGCCTTTTTATTATATCCTTACTCTGTCCTGGACATTGAGTTCTACCTGGATTCTATCCTCTTGGAATTTTTTATACAAAATATATATGTATGTGTGTGCATGTATGTATATATATTTATATATTTTGCGTATGTATGTGCATATTTACCACTAATATCTATCTATCTATCTATCTATCTATCTATCTATCTATATATATATATATATATATATATATATATGTGTGTGTGTGTGTGTGTGTGTGTGTGTGTGTGTGTGTGTGTGTACATATATATATATATATATATATATATATATATTTTAATCGCTTTCCAACTTTCCCTTTCATTCGTTATATTAAGTGTGTCTTTGATTGTTTTCCAATTTGCCAACGTATACCTTTGAAAAGTGTTGGTCGAAACGTACCTAAGGTATAACATGACGTCCGTTTTTTGTTTAAATCTCTCTCTCTCTCTCTCTCTCTCTATATATATATATATATATATATATATATATATATATATATATATATATATGTGTGTGTGTGTGTGTGTGTGTATGTATTAATAGTAATACTGTTTGGAAAAAAAAACTCAAATAGCACAACTTGTTGATATGCCAAAACAAATCGGTACCCAAGAAAAAAATTGAAAAAAGAAAGAAATAACTAAAAACATTAGAACAGAGCGAAACAAATCGTCCATTGCCTTAAGTCTTTAGTCCAAAGAAAAAAAAAACAAGCAAGTAGTAAGACTAAAACGTAGAGTGCTCAATACGCTAAGTAGAGCGGGAATGACGAAAATAAATCCTAAAGAGCCAGCAAAACCTACCTAGGTTTCACCGAAACGGACCTTTAAGGTAATCTGGGTAAAAAGGAAATGACGAAACAGTATTTATTGTTAAAACCATCAAAAACATAAAACCACGTGACGGAAGAAGACAGAAAAAAACAAAACCTCTATTCCAATAACCAGGATTTCTTATGTCTACACCTATTTAGAATCTCAGGTCTTCGATTTAATAAATTATTAGGGTCATTATAGGTGGCGATTGCTAATACTAATAATCTTCCATACGCAATGAACAAAATTTCCTGGCTCTTTAGGATTTGTTATATATATGTATATATATATATATATATATATATATATATATATATATATATTTTAGATGATTGATGTTATTTTCATCGTATCGACTCTAGTAATCGCCCCGTCCACTAGTTAGAAGATACCAGCAATTGATTGTTTATTTTCTCGTTTTTCGTCACTTTTACATTGAGTTAAAAATATTGTGTGTGTGTGTCTGTGTGTGTGTGTGTGAAGAGATAAGGTACAAAGAAGACCAGTTCCAAACATTAATAAATGCAACAACAAAACAAAAACTTTGTAAAAATGATAATATTACAATTAGACTCACTGCTCAAAAGAACGCCTATGACATCATCATCAGAGATGTTTCGACTTGAAGGCACGCTGCAATTCTCATCTTCAGTAGGGTTACTCGTTTCCATGCATGCCAATCGGGTCAGGCAGATTCGTGTTTCTTCAACGCCCACAGACCCAACCTACAATGTAGACTGCAACTCTTCTGAGCGAACCTTAGTTACAGTTCATGTATATTCTCCATTACGGCCACACACTGTTTAGAATTGAGTTTTACATCTCCTATAAATGGAGAAGGATGTGTACCTATGTTTCATAAACTACGAAAAGGCCTTCGACAAAGTACGCCAGAAGGATCTGTTGGAACAGTTCAGCAATCTTGATATATTCAGGAAAGATATTAGAATAATCAAGAACCTATACTGGCAGCAAACGGCCTGCATGCGCATAGAGAACGAGTTCAGCGAATATACAAAAATAGAAAGGGGCGTAAGGCAACGATGTGTCGTCTCACCGGACCTATCCAACCTATACAACGAGGCAATTCTGTGAGAATTGGAAACCCTACCAGGATTCAGTATCGGCGGCCATAATCTTAACATAATATATGCAGATGACTCAGTACTGATAGCAGACACGAATAAGAAACCTACAAAACCTCCTACAGAAACAAGAGAAGGAGAGCGAGAAGAAGGGACTAAGCATAAACTACAAGAAAACGGAATGCATGGTCATCAGTAAAAGTAAGATCACTATTCGGATTACTTCGTAGGTGTGCTTGTCGAACTCTCTGCATCTGGGCAGAGAGGAACCTAAACGAGGCTATGCCAAAGGGCAGAGTCTCGTCTGGGGTGGTTTTACGGGATCTACGGGGAATTTTTGCCCGAGCCTACGGGCTCGGATACCCCACAATAAACTCGGCCCTGTGCCACATCCGACCGCGCGAGGTGGCAGGTGAATATCATTAGTAAAAGTAAGAGACCGAAATGTGATCTGCAGGTCGCCGACACTAAAATCAAGCAGGTGCGAAAGTTTAAATATGTCAGAAGTGTTTCGACGAAGGACTGTAAGTACGACACTGAGATCCGAAGACGTATTGGGATGGCCAAGGACGCATTCCAAAAGCTGGACAGAGTATTGCGAGACATGAAGATTTCTTTGGTAACAAAGAAAAGAGTACTGTTACGTGACATTTGTCCTCCTTTACAAAGATTAAAAAGAGACTCAAGGCGACAGAGATGTGGTTCTACAGTAGAATGCTGAAGATATCATGGACCGAACGTGTGAGAAACGATGAGGTCTTGGAGAGGATGAAAACAAGGCGGAGGCTTATGCTTAACATCAGAAAGAGGTAGATGAAGTTTCTGGGACACGTAATGAGGAATGAGGGCCTGGATCGACAAAAACCTGAAGAAGGCCAGAAGGAACGGCTGAAACGTTTTGATATTAAAAAATAAAAATTAAAATAGTACTCCTATTTATTTATAGTTTTTTATTCATTCATTTCTATTTTTTTCTACTGCTGATGCACTTTTTGTTTTATTTTCAGTATTGTTATTCCACGAATGATTTTCTTTTCTTTTTTTTATAACCATAGACGAAATACTGGAATCGCTAGCACTGTCAGTTATAGCGCCATTATCATGAATTTGATTCTAATGAGCTGTTTCTTTCGTTGCTTTGGTACTTGAAATTGGAACTGGGTGCCACGCATTCGAACAGCAAATCTTGTTTGAATTAAGAAAGAGTCAGCAAGTAATTTGGGGTTGAAACAGAACAAGAAAGCAAAAAAAAGAAAACGCTTTCTTTAGTTGTCGGTTGGGAAAGGTGTTTAACATTGTAATTGTTGCTATTTATCTTGATAGTGGTGGGGGTAGTGGTAATCATGTCAGATGCAAGAAGGAAGACCGATTATTCTGTAGGGAAAAGAAAGTTAGAACATAAGGTAAAAAAAGACACAAAATGGACAGATGATAGAAAAAGATATAGAAGAAAATGAACACGATAAAAGAAAGAAGACGAAAACTACGATTTTCATTAAGAAAGAGAGATAGAAAATGACAGAATAATAAAAACAAAATGGCGGACGGAAAAAATCGAAAATGCGAAAAGGAAAAAATAAAGAAAATAAGAATCTGAAGGGAGAAAAAGAATTCAGAAACAACAGAAGAAAGGTGAGTTAAGAAAAGAAAAAAATGTAATCGAGAAAATGTAAGAGACAGCGAGGCATCGCCATTGTTTGAATGCAAATAAACATGTCTGCATGACACGGTTTATAATAAGAACGATTTTCACAGCATTGCTTCCCGCTATGTCACACAGCACATCACCACAATGACACAAAACCACGTTTCAGTTGCAAAAATTCAGTTTATAGTTTATATTGACTTTTACATCTGCAAATGTTGAGTAAGGATCGTAAATAAATATATATATTTACAGTAGAAAACGCTATCAAAGAATACTTCCAAGCAATGAAATGAAAAAGCACTTCCTGTGGTTTTTAAGAACAGATGAATTCTTGCATGTTTATTAGCTGAATATCCTCACTTATAAAAATCTTTTTCTCGCAGTGGAAATATTTACGCAATTTCTCAGTTACAAGTCTTGAAGGAAGAAAAATTGGTAAATTCGTTAATGTATTGAGTACCGATTTTTACAAAAGGATTTTTTTATTATTTTCAGTTGTTTATGCAGATCTCAGGACCGAAATCCTCCTAATGACATCGTTAAAGATTTAATATAAGAAAGAGAAGCACAAGTTTCAAGAGATTATTAAGAAAAGATTATAGGATTAAAGTTAAATAGTAGTTACCAGGCACTAAAAGAAATAAAAGAAAGGAAAAGAATGGAAAGCAAAAATGGTGAACATTAACAAATTCATTAACAGGTTGATTGTTTTGTTTTTTTAATGTCCTATTAACTTCCTATGGCTAATTTAGTGCCGAAATTTAATTTCCTTGGGAGATTTGAAGGAATAAAAATAAAATCTAAAGAAGAATCAGCAATATTATCGGTCTGGATCTGACCGTCCGGTTTTCCCATCACCATAAGGTTGCCTTTTTGTGTCTCTTCTAAAAATACTTTCATGATAATTGTTCGGATAAGCGCTTCGCTGCGGTACTTTCGTAGTGAGATTGTATTCCTATTTTCAGACCAGCCTGATTCGCCAAGTGTCAGACGAGATTTTGTCGTTTTACCGTTTGCAACTTTGCATTTTGCTGTTTTAAGAATTATGTTTACGTTAAGTTTAATCTTTAATTTTTCTTTCTTTTTTCTTTTTTTTCAAATTAAGACCTTTTTTATTCTTTTTTTTTTCAAATTAAAACCTTTTTCTTTTCTTTTTTTCAAATTAAAACCTTTTAACGTTGTTTTCTTTAATTGTGCCATTTTAATAAATTTATTCCTTTTAGCTTTACACGACGAACGTCTTTTTTGTTCTTTCTTTCTTTTGTTGGATATTCGGTTGAGGAAGACATTTGACGGCACTTCCGCTGCATCGGAGAGTGAGCGAAAAACAGAATGGGTGTTTGCATAAATAAGAAGTGCATCCGGTGGCTAAAATGAACAGGACGCACAGGTGTCGTGAGCCTTGAATAAACAGGGTGCACAGGTGTCCTGGGTTGTAAGCTGGGTCCTGGGTTTTGAATAAGCAGGACGCACAAGTGTCCTGGGCCTTGAATAAACAGGGTGCACTGGTGCCCTGGGCCTTGAATAAGCAGGACGCACAAGTATCCTGGGCCTTGAATAAACAGGGTGCACTGGTGCCCTGGGCCTTGAATAAGCAGGACGCACAAGTGTCCTGGGCCTTGAATAAACAGGGTGCACTGGTGCCCTGGTCCTTGAATAAACAGGATGCACAGGTGTCCTGGGCCTTGAATAAACAGGGTGCACTGGTGCCCTGGGCCTTGAATAAACAGGGTGCACAGGTATCCTGGGCCTTGAATAAACAGGATGCACAGGTATCCTGGGCCTTGAATAAACAGGGTGCACAGGTATCCTGGGCCTTGAATAAACAGGACGCACAGGTGGCCTGGGCCTTGAATAAACAGGACGCAAAGTTGTTCTGGGCCTTGAATAAACACGGTGCACAGCTGTCTTGAGCGGATGGAAAATGTGTGCTTGCGTGAGCATATGGCCGGAAGAGGATTGTCTACACGAAGTTGCTTGGACAAATGACCGGAAGTGAGCGTAGCCACGTGAAGTTTCGTGGGTGTCCAAATGTTATAAAAATGGTTCAATTTCTGTGCCTGGCAAAGAGGCTGATTAGAGTTTCACTAAAGTTTTATCTCCGTCAATTCCTGTGTGTACAAAATCCTATCTTCTGTGATTCTCCCTCACTCTACCCAATCACAGCAACACGAACAATAAAGATATTTACATATTATATATATATATATATATATATATATATATATATATATATATATATATATATATATAATATATTGGTCGCCTTATTTGTGTCCAGCAACAATATACAATGCTACATTGCTAAATTTATTGTTTTCTTTCTCTTTATAGAAGGAATTTGTTTTATAATTTGTGTATAATTTTAAGTAACTTAAGTTTCCACGTTAAACCTTTTTGTTAAATTAGTTTGCGTCGGTCTTTTTTCGTTTGACTCGTGAAATTTGTTTTTCAAACAGTCCCTCTCTTTCTACCAGTTCCAAAGGTGATGTCCCGGCTAATTACACAGAAAAGATTCGGCAACAACGACTCACAATACGAGCCGAGTTTTAAAAAAATCGAAAAGCTTGTGCGATTGAAAGAATCCATAAAACCTAAAAGAACACAAGAAACACCAAGAAGAAGATTGGCCTTTCTTCCATGGCACCCTCTTCCCTATCACTCAAAAAGAAGACCATGCCTCCACCCCCTCATAACCAAACTCTCACTCCTTGCAAAATAACCACTCTCAAAAGAGTTCTCACTTCAAAATTCCCCCCAAATGAGCACACCATTCTCAATCTATCCCTCTTTTATACATTCGTTAATTCACTAAGTAAAACGACAACGTAGCCCATCAGATGATTCAAATAAGTCTAAAAAATGATTGAATCCAAACTAATTCACAACACCTGGGAAGACGTGTGCCGAGTGACACCGGAGTATGACGAAAAAGCAGTAACACAATCGAGGAAGATTAAAGATTTAAAAGTCTTGTGAAAATTAAAAGAAATGAAAGATATGGAAGACCCAAGAAACTTTCCCAAAGCGAAAAGGATATTAAAAATAGTGAGGTTAGGACAAGGATCACAAAAAGTGTAGTTAACCCTGCAAGTGGCAAATGATAACTTTTCCATTTTACCACCGTTGACCTTTTTTGACGACGAAAATGTCAAAGAATTTAATCAATATTGTTCAGGGAGGCTCCCGCTTTTTGTACATACCCTCCCTTTATAGAGCATTACAATTAACATTCCTCTGGGACATTGGTGGTCTGTCTTTTGATGTTAATATCAAGATGGAAATAGGCCAAGGCTCAATGGGACAGGCCATCGGTGTCCTCACCCCAGCCATGTTCAACACAGAAAAGCAACCCTAATCGGTCTAACAATCGCACACTGATTAACTAGCGTAAATGCCCGGGTTCTGAGGTCTGAGTCTGCTAGGGCGAGGCTCACTCACGATCTTCAGTGTCTCGGGATGAATGTATATATATACGAGACCCGGTTTTCAACTCACCACCCTGAAAGCATTCTGCCTAGGGTTTTGACATCTATTCAGCGTGTTTTGATAGACTTTCCAGATGAGTTTCCTGGCTGGTGAGCAATTATTTGGATGCGACCTGTGCGCTTGTCTTCGCAGATCCGGCGAGCAGGCTTGCGTGCTGGATTTAAATATAAATGATAAGTCTCTTCGTCTCATTGGGGTTTATGCGCCTAATGACAATGTTGAGCGGTTGGATTTGTTTCGGCGTATCGAGTCTTTTGTGACATCTCGTTGGGTAGTTTTAGCGGGCGATTGGAATGCCGTCCTTGACTCCGACATAGATCGTATAGGGGGAAAGTACAAACAACCAGGCTGTGAAACCATTTCAGGACGTTATCGGCACGTTTGATCCTGTTGGTAAGTATCATAATGAGCAACCCTCTGGTGGTATTTGAACAAATAGGGGCGGTTCGGCTATGGCGGTGTGTTTTAGCTACCTCAACCAAGTCTTGAGTTGATGCAGGGCTCTTAGATTGTCCTAGTTTTCATTCGATAGTTTACTCGGATCAGGAGCTCCTCCTAAGGTTAAGATGGCTGGTTAGTGGAAATTCAACGCATCATTATTTGATGTGCGAGATTTCCAGTACCAGCTGCTACTAATGCTACAACGGGAATTGACAGGGCTGTGGTTGGGAATATGTGGTGGAATAAATTAAATATCAAAATTAGGTCGTTTACTGCTGATTATAGTCGTCGACTCAATTTAGTTAGATTAGCCAAACGGCATCTGAGGAAAAATTTGATCGGCAGATTAAATCCCGTGATAGTGGGGACATAGCCTTAGCTAGAGCAGAGTTGATCGCCTTTTCTTATAAAAAAGGATCAAGTTTTGGTAGTTAGGACTAGGTTAAAAAGAATGTCTTCCAAGGCAACGAATATGGCCGCTTAAATGCGAGCAGAGGAAGTTAGGAATGCTTGGCATCCGCGTGCGTCACTTCCCGGGCCTTTCCTCTAGACGGACGGGCCGATCAAGATACACGGCGTCTGGTTCGGCCCCGACCTCTTCTTGGAAATGAATTGGTCGAAAGTGCGAGAGAAAGCCGACGTTGCTGTTTGTCTGTGGTCCTGGGGGAATATTTCCTTAAAAAAGAGGACGGAAGTATGTGTCTCGCGCATCTACCCAATTCTCCTTTGCCGACTCTCCGTACTTCCACTGCCGTCTGCCACACTAATATCATCAGTAAGACTCTTGTTCTACTTCTTGTAGGGTGGCAAAGCCCCCAGGTACTTCGGGAGATCTGCTCGCTTCACCCTTCAGAAGGCGGTCTCGGTATGTCTAACGTTGAAACTCGTCAACATACGCTTCTCATCGACTTCCTAGATCGAATGTCATCAATCGGATGGTGAGGACGAATTCTGGAAGGAAGACGCCCGTAAGAATTTCCCATTCCTGAGAAGTTTGCATTCGTACGATGAGGAACACAACCGCTCCTCGTTTACTCTGAGGCGAGTGCTGTTATTGTGAATGTCAGATTGCTCTGAAACTTACGAGCGACGGATGGCGTCTTTGACCTCTAGCCGTTGTCCCAAAAGGCGTTATATTACGTGTTAGTTAGGGGGTCAGAGATCTGATAGTCGAACTCAGTTGTACGAAGCAAGAGACCTGATCCATATGGCTTAGAGCGCCCGGGCTGAAATGCCACAATAATGATGAGGCATTACTCACCTGGCTGGTGATTCGAAAAGCCCGCTGGGTCGGCAAAAGACTTTGCTCGGCAGGTTTAGAAAATTCTCCAAACTGCGTTCGCTATGATAGAACGTGGATACTCTGGATCACACCTTGTTTCATTGAAGGGTCGTAGTCCTGTTAGGCAAGTTTATTAAAGATATCATGGTTTGCATGTTGCGCGGAAAGTTTTTCGTCCTCGAGGTCAGTTCTGTCTGTAGCAATGTGGTACCGCCGTTGAAGAAGGCTGAACACTATGTGCTCTTTTGCTTGTTAGGCGTTAAGAGAGTCGTGATATGAAGGACACGTGGAGCCGAGAAGTTCACCTCTTCCCAACTAATCTTGTTCTTTAAGCATCAGCTTAAAGCCAAGATTAGGACGGAAAGGCAGCAACTCCACCCAGCAGAATTAGTCAAAAGGTGGGTGAGCCTTGCGCGTATATGTCGAGTAAGAGGGGTCGAATTTAGAATGTCACTTTGATGCTAGTTAGGCATTAGGATATTGTTCTAACTGGATTAAACACTGGCAACCCAGTCTATAATTAGGTTAGGAATGTTTTTGTATTTAGTTACTTCTTTCAAACTTTACTTGGTTAGGGGATGTAAGCTCATTGGTCTCTTTTGTTTCTGCCTCGACACACTTTAGTTTAATTACCCCTCTATATTAGGTGACCAGAGATGTCAATTCTCTGGTGGATGCGGACACCTTTCGTATTTCGGGTGTGATTCTCGTATTTGTTGTTGTTTAAATGAGTGTGTATTTGAGGGAAAGGTAAGACGAATTAGTGTTTTATATTGTTAAAGTCTCGCATTAATTTCGTCCAGTTAACTGATGTTCCTACCACAATTAAGGTTTGTGGTGTAGTGTTACTACTAACACTATTTAATTTAGTTTCTTGTAAACACCTTATTTCATATTGTATATACATATTCTGATTTAGATTTTTAAATTGTTGTTTTATCCCCCCCCTCCCTGCACCAGACAAAAATTGCACATATGGGGAGTCGAAACTCTGAGGTATTATAGTGGATATAATAAGAATCTGTTATTTTGGTGTAAGGAATACTGCGGCAGGTTTGGGTCGGTGACTGTGGCTAGATCAGTCTAATTATAAGACAGAAGAAAACCATCCTTCCCCCCCCCATTCCCCCTTTTGGCTTTTGTCACATTTTTGCACATTTTGCCCTTCGCTATGGTACCTAGACTTTATGAATTTAAGCACAGTACTAGACTGGAGTCTCGATTTCCTTAATTTACAGTTGCGCTGACCAGATGTAACCGTAAGTTCTATGCTAACAGTTTCTTTTCTCCAACTTCTCGCTGGCAGATGTCCCTTCCGGCTTCATGCTTTCCAGACAAGTTTAATCTTCAAAAATTTAAATGTAATTTCAATCGCTATCTACTGTCTTCATGATTACTCTTTCATTGTTCCAGCTCTTTGGCATTTACTTAAATATTTGTATCTATAAAAAAAAGAATGTATAAACATAAAAATGTTTAAAATATATATATGCGTACTAATTGATTTTTTTTTTCTTACGGCCTATCAACCTCTTGCAGGTTTTAAAGGTAGAGAATATTTTCAGACTCTAAGAATTTTGTTGGGAAAATTAACCGCAACTGGGGCTGAAGAGGTGCATCCATACCTTTCCCAAAGGTATTTGAACCTAAGTTTCCTATTTCTAATTTCGAGCCGTTATCCCTTACACCACCTGCACGTCCACGCTTACAGTACCTGGGACTCCCAAGAGGCCACCCATCTAAGCCCTGACCAGGCTCGGCTTTGCTTAACTTCGGTGATCGTACGAGAACTGGTGTGTGTGTGTTTATGTCGTTGAGTGTATGTATTTTGATAGGGCATTGTCTATTAATGAAGCTGGCCAAAAGTGGATAGGCTTTAGAATTATATGTACGAATATAAACTGGGTAGATCGACAGAGAAAAATGCTTTTATTGATTTTGTACCAATCAGAAATCTATTATCTGCCCTCTTGAATTTGGCGCAAGCGGACAACACGGTTGCCATATATGGGAGGGATTGTTCGGGGAATGGGGTAGCCAAATTTTTTTGTCGCCTGCCAAGGTATCACGGGTGGTTAAGAATTGCCGAAAATTGCACACGAGAACGAACGAACGAACGAACGAAAGAAAGAAAGAAAGAAAGAAAGAAAGAAAGAAAGAAAGAAAGAAAGAAAGAAAGGGAAAAGTAAAAAGCGGGAAGTAGACGTGAATAAATTCACATTCACAAAGAAAAGAAAGAAAGAAAGAAAGAAAAAAGAAAGAAAAGAAAGAAAGAAAGAAAGGGAAAAGTAAAAAGCGGGAAGTAGACGTGAATAGATTCACATTCACAAAGAAAGAAAGAAAGAAAGAAAGAAAGAAAGAAAGAAAGAAAGAAAGAAAGAAAGGGAAAAGTAAAAAGCGGGAAGTAGACGTGAATAGATTCACATTCACAAAGAAAGAAAGAAAGAAAGAAAGAAAGAAAGAAAGAAAGAAAGAAAGGAAAAGTAAAAAAGAAGAAAATAAATTCATTCACAAAAGAAAAGGAAAAAGAAAAAAAGGGAAGTAAGAAAGGGAAAAGTAAAAAATTCACAAAATAAATTCACATTCACAAAGAAAGAAAGAAAGAAAGAAAGAAAGAAAGAAAGAAAGAAAGGGAAATGTAAAAAGCGGGAAGTAGACGTGAATATATTCACATTCACAAAGAAAGAAAGAAAAAAAAAAAAGAAAAAACGCACGAAAAAAAGAAAAAAGAAGGAAAGAAAATGAAGGAAAGAAGGAACACACTAAAGAAAGAAAGAAAGAAAGAAAGAAGCGATGAGGTAAAAGCCGGAGGCAGGCGTGAAGAGATTCCCATTGCTCTAAACACAGTGCAATATATAAATAAATAGTGATATGCTTATCTATCTATCTATCTATCTATCTATCTATCTATCTATTCATCACCCTATCAATTAATCGATATGCATATTTCGATCGAGCTCATTTTTTTCATTTCCATCTATTTCTGTTTATTGCTACTTATCTCAATTTATTGCTACCTAGCGAGCTATCAGCTTGTGTTTATCTATACAGCTATATGTCATATATAAATGCATGTTTATAAATATATAGAAGTTAAACTGATTCATGGCTATTATAATAAAAGCAGTATTTTTATTTGTTAAATAAGTCAACACACATGTCAATGTGCTGTATTGTAAGATAATAATAATACAGATAGATAGATAGATAGATAGATAGATAGATAGATAGATAGATAGATAGATAGATTCTTCTCGGAAACCACTGCTCTTTGGAACCTGCATCCAAGAGTATGTTTCCCCGATCAGTACACTCTCCATCTGTTCAAGTTTAGGGTTAACCGTTACCTTCCCCTCCTATCTACATAAACTGCCTTTTACTCTGTAACATCCCACCTCGCGTGGCCCCCGGTCCTTGTATAGTGTGAACCTCGCTTTAAAAAAAATAAAGATGAGGCTGAATTAGTGAAAGATCTATAGAGGCAACTGAGATAGATAGATAGATAGATAGATAGATAGATAGATAGATAGATAGATAGATCTAAATAGAGATCAGTAGAGGAACTGACATAGATAGATAGATAGATAGATAGATAGATAGATGATAGATGATGACTGAATAAATAGAGAGGTCTATAGAGGAGACTGACATAGATAGATAGATAGATAGATAGATAGATAGATAGATAGATAGATAGAAAAAAGAAACTTACTAAGACACATCAACAAATCGGCAAACAGACAGACTGACAGATAGATAAATAGATAGAAAAAAAGAAACTGACTTAGATAGATAGATAGATAGATAGATAGATAGATAGATAGATAGATAGATAGGTGAGACTAAATAGAGGGGTCTATAGAGGAGACTGACATAGATAGATAGATAGATAAATAGATAGATGGATAGATAAGACTAAATAGAGAGGTCGATAAAGGAGACTGACCTAGATAGATAGATAGATAGATAGATAGATAGATAGATAGATAGATAGATAGATAGATAGATAGGGAGAGAGAGAGACACGCAACTTGCAATAAACAGGACTAAATATTTACGTGTATATTCTTATTTGAAAGTTAAATTATCCATGATAAACGATAACAATTCAATTTCGCCACTGTTTAAATTACACTCGCAAGGCGATAGTCAGCCGGAAGGACTCTTCTTCACTTGTTAAATTTACATACTTTGATCCCCTAGCCAAAATTATTCATACCCTTTCTCACTCACACCCTCTATCAGTGTGGGTGCACGCAAGTGATAAATTTACAGGCAATTTAGCATCCACATTTCGTTTACAGAAGTTTTATGCAATTCTTGACTTTTTTGTGTTTGCTGAATTTATTCTATTTCTAACTTTTCCAATTTTTTTCTTTTTTTTTTTTTGTTAGATATGATATATATTTTTTTAAATTTTTATCCGTAAATATTTAACATGTTTTAATTCACATCTAAATGTCCTTGTCCGTGCCTATGCAAGAATACGTTTACGGCCATATCACGTTGAAACATTGGTTCCCGTAGAAACATCGTAGTTAATCAACGTCGAGGCTGGTCAGTACCAAGATGGATGACAACTTGGGAATACAAGGGGCTATAAGCTTGGGTGTGTGGATGATGAAATGGATAACGTCTTGGGATTGGTATGTGGAGAGCCGTGTTCCAATTCCAGCTGGGTTCGTTATATTCACTTACGCGCAAATACCCTCTGGAATGTTATGAATGCACACATTCTTTCTCATACTTATGGGTTAATTAGTAAGATTTTGTATCCCGAAATCATTATTAGCTAAAAAATGAAATCTGACGATCTAAAAAAATGGGGTCTTTAAATAACCTGAAAAGCGTGGATAGGTTGTATAAACTCAATCAATCAATCATTTAAGGATCGATTACTTGACAACACGCCTATGTTCTTACTGAATTGTTATAAGTAACGCAGGAATTATGTTGTAACGTACGGTAAGTGTGTTGAGGTTGGGGAAAATATCTAACCATCAACAATCGGGTTGGGGGTTAATAGTCAGAGAGGAGAAAACACGGGGGTTAACAAAAATAATACTGCCTTGGAAACCACTGAAGCTTTAGGAACAAAATGCACAGGACTTGCTAACTAGAAATTGCCAAACAGACACATTGTAAAATTGTGTTCATCCGAAATGCAGATTCCGCGATAAACATTCACAAAAAAGTTGGCCATCTTGTATCAGGTTGCACGGTGTTACCATCCATTGAATACAAAACTCTGCCTGATAGAGTGGGCCAATATCTTCACTGAAAAATATGCAACTTTTACCGGAAGGAAACTGCAAGAAACTGGTAAGCAACATCACCCAGACCCGGTTATAGAAAAAGGACCTGTCATAATTTTATAGGATTTTACAATATACACAGACAGAACAATCAAAACTAGTCGCCTAAACAACGTAATCAATGAACACAAGAACAGAACATGTTTTCTTATTAACATGGCAGTCCCTGCAGATTCTAATGTATATTTGAAGATCTTCAAAAAAAATATCAAAATACAAAGATCTTGAAATGGAAATTTCAAAAAATGTGGCACGTGAGGGTGTCAGTAATTCCAGTTATAGTTGCAGCACTCGAATTGGTTAGAAAAGGTCCCGATAGACCCATTGAAGGGATTCCCGATATCCCATGCTTTAAAGAAATATAAAAAAATATTATTTACAACTCACACATTATGAAGAGCTTTATCGATGTGAAATATGTGTGATCTTAGGTTTTTTTTTATTTATTTATTTTTTATATAAAAATGATCAGTGGAAATGTCATGAAGCCATTTCTGACCTTAAGTCTCTGGTTAGGACCCGGAAAGAAATGTGTATACAACAGAAATCCAAGGAAATAATAATAATAATAATAATAATATACCCATAGACATAACAAGGTAGCGATATATGAGCACTTGAAGATATGCAAGAAGCACAAAATCAAAACCACTGAGAGATGGTATGAGCACCAACCACAGTTAGGCAAAATAACGATGTAACTATCCACTGGGACATGCCAAACTGACAGGGAAATAAAAGCCAATAGACCTGATATTATCATAAAAGACAAGAAATTCAGGAAGTGTACCATCTAAGAGAAACATCTCCATGAAAATTATCAAGAAATTGTCCAAATACAAAGTACCGGGAGATCGAGATTAACAGGATTTGGGGGGAATGAAAACTGAGACTGTATCAATAGTAATCGGGGCTGTGGGGCTCGTGAGAAAAACAGTTGACAATTTTACAGTGTCCCAGGTAACATCAACATACAAGAAGATCCCCCTACTAGGAACATCCCTTATACGAAGAAAAGTGCTATCAATTAAATGACAGATTCTCTTATAGGGAATAAGGAGCATAGTTCGGGCTCAGCCCTACAGGATAAAAAGCAGGAAACATTATATAATAATAATATTAATAATGATATTAATAACAGTAGTAGTAGTAGTAATAGTAATAGTAATAATAATAATAATAACTAAAAAATGTGTGAAAATGACATAGGACTAAGGACCATAGTTTAGCTCTACAGGGCTAACTAGGAATTATCAAGCACATATACTAAAATATTGTGTCAGCCCAAAATGCAGATTCTGTGATGAATATCCAGAAACGATTGATCATCTTGTATAAGGTTGCACGGTGTTGGCTCCCACTGAATATAAAACCCGACATGACAGAGTGGGCCAATATCTGCACTGGAAAATCTGCAACTTCTACGGGAAGAAAACTGAAAGAAACTGGTATGAACACCACCCAGACCCGGTTACGGAGATAAGACCTGTTACAATTCTATGGGACTACACAATACACACTGACAGAACAATCAAGGCCATCGCCCGGATATTGTTATTAAAGACCACAAACAAAAACGGTGCCTCCTTATTGATATGGCAGTCCCTGCTGACTGCAATGTATCTTTGAAGATATTCAAAAAGCTGTCAAAATACAAGGACCTTGAAATAGAAATCTCGAAAATGTGGCATATGGGAACATCAACAATCCCTGTTGTAGTTGGAGCCCTAGGACTGGTTGGAAAAAGATTTCAGTAGACTAATTGAAGGATTCCTGGAAGTCCATGCCTCAAGGAGATACAAAAATTGTTCTGACAAGTACAGCCCACACTTTACGAAGGGCTTTATCTATGTAATGTTTTTTTTTTTTGTCAGTGGAAAGTGTCATGACGCCATTTTTAACCTTAGGTCACTGGGTGGGACCCGGAAAGAAATGTGTAAACGCCAGAAATCAAAGAAAATAATAATAATAATAATAATAATAATAATAATAATAATACTCAGTACTCACACCCAGTGAGTACAAAAAAGCGTCATACAGAGTAGATCAATATTTGCGTTGAATTATTTGTCATAAGTACAGCATAAAAACAGCTGCAAACTGGTATGAACATCATCCTGAATCTGTAGTTGAGGGAGAAGATGTTAACATACTCTGGGATTTTTATATCAACACAGATCGAACGATGCAAGC